TGCTTCCAGGCTTGGCAGCGGCGCTGGGATCGTTGTGTTCACTCCCAGGGGAACTACTTCGAGGGTGATGGATGAATTTAATACCTGAGATAAGTGTACGGGTTTTTAATAGGCGCAGTCTTGAAACTTTCCGATCGCACCTCATACTTTAGGTTATCTGTTGTGTTTAAATACTTGTGTTTCTATTTTCTATAATGCGTGTGCCTTATGGGTTTGTAATTTTACGAGCTGTTTTATTTTGTGGTTGTGTCTTATTACAGCACAACTACCACCGGGTATAAACCACATTGTAGTCAACAATAATAATTAAAATTAATAATAATAACTCCATACAGTTGTTGATAGGCCAGAAATCTTCATCTGTTCTAATTTTAAACCCTGACGGTTAGCATGATCATGGTACGGCAGTAGACGCCACGTATAATGACCCAGTTTAATCCTGTTACAGTTACAGATTGTTAATAATTGCGGAATGCCTTCATAGTGTAAATTTCTTAACGAGCTTCATAACAACGTAGGGAATGCGCTAACTACATAACAGTTCTGGCGCAATAGAGCTGTTATCGCCCGTATATTTCATTTCATGAATGTTAAATTGTGGCTCAGGTGGAACGGGAGAGGAGGACCTGCAGTACAACGTCTGATCAAAATCAGAACAGCGCAAGGCGTCTCCAGTAACTGGGAGTCACTTTCATCTGCGTCTCTCGAACGACGCACGACTTAACACGAAAGCGTTTTCTGTGCTGGCAGAAACACACGTAGGCCATCATGTAAAGCGTGTTTTTTGCTGTACGATTTCAACGACCATCATTTTTCACGACATGTTTCAGTTCCTAAAAGAACTATCTTCAGGTGTATATAATTATATAAAGATTCAAATCAATAATAACTTAAATACAATTATTGTTGATTTGAATCTTTATATAATTATATATACTCCTGAAGATAGTTCTTTTAGGAACTGAAACATGTCGTGAAAAAATGATGTTCTAATGTAAATCGAATATTTCGATAAAGAACATCATTTAATATTTTAAATATTTTAAATGTTAATTATTGTAATATTTTAATATTTAATAAGAATTTATTGTGATTAGACGGACAAGATTTAAATAATATAAAGTTCGGAATGTGTTAACAAATATTAATAAAACTTCATGATACCAAATTTCATCAAAACCCGTTCAGCGGTTAAGCAGCTGTTACAGTCGGACTGACAAACAATGCCAAAGTTAATAAACGCGTTTTTAACGCGAACACACACGTCTACATATATATAGTCCTAAACGTTTATATACAGATCATTTGGTGGGACTCCTTTGACGAGATTATATATATATATATATACACATAAAATATGTACACACTTATACACGTACGTACATACATGCGTGCGTGCTTACATCTTTCCACTTTGAAACATAATTTTAAATCTCTTTCCTAAACCATGTTTAATGAATTTTGCTTAAATATATTTATACAGCACTGCATGTAAATTATTTTCGTGTTGCCATAAATCAAGCTCTATGACCACTTCAGTACTCATATTTTGGTAGCTGATGTTATGTACAGCAAGTGTAGTCCGGGTGTAGTTCGTTAGATTTATCAACAGATGGCAGGAATAATTTAGATGAACTGACACTTTTGAAGGCTGCTTCATTTGTAGCATTAAAATGTTTAGCAATTACATCTTCTTTCAGAGCGATTTTTAA